TATGAAAACTCATTTAGGTCAACCTAAATGAGTTTTCCACTGATGTTATGGGTCAGCTCCTCATTATGACAAACTAGCTCAGAAGTGGCTGGATGACAATAATCCAAACCGGTGGATGGGTACCTCAGAATGACCCGCTAGATTACCTGATATGCTGCCATCAGATTTTTTGTGGGCACTCGTGCATTCAACCTCCACCGTGAGTCGCAAAGGTTTATTGTCGCTCACACTTATTCAAACTCGGCCAAATAAACCCAGCTTCTTAACGAAGCCGATTAGTTCATATGGTAAGGGATCTTTCAGGTCAGATGGTAGGAGTATAGTTCTATCAAACTTTGAAAATCTGATGGGGCCCCTAGCGGGGCAGGCACAAAGTATATGCTCTGCTGTTTCATCATTTTCCAAACAAAGGCGACACACACTATCTTCCGACAGTCCAAGTCTCTGCATTAGATGATTCAGACGACAGTGACCTGTGAGGAGGCCTGTTAGACATCGTAGTCCAACAAATATTCAGTTTCAAGCTTCAAAGGGTGAATGAACACCTCGAAGTGAGCCAATCCTGGAAGATTTTGCCAGAAGGCTTCAAGTCTTCTTACCATCCAGGTGTTCCATGTTTGTTTGGCAAAACCTAAAGCGATACCAATGACAGGTTCTGGTCCAATGAAGCTACTTGCAGCACCCTCCTTTGCAAGGCAGTCAGCAGCCTCATTGCCTTTCAGGCCAGTATAGCCAGGAGACAATTTATCAAGTCTTTTTGTTGAGGAGAGTCGTTTTTGGCAGTTTGCATTTTTATTGACTTGTGAGTGAGGTTGGATTTATCCAATCTCTCCGCACACAATTCAATAGCGTAAATTTCCGCTTGAATTACAGTCGCATAAGTTCCTATGCAGGTAGATATCTCTGTCCTGGGTCTGCGACTGAAAAAACTTGCAACAGAGCCTGAAGGTGATTTTGATCCATCTGTGAACCAACAACTATCTGCTTTTAATATTTGCTTCCTCCAGAAAAAATATAGATCACAGAATTGCAGTCCATTCCAAAACTCTTGGAAGAAATGGAATGATTCACCATAGAAACTTTCAATAATGAAAGAAATTAATTTGTAAACAGACTGTGGTCAGGAAGTGATTGAACATTTTCTCCGAACACACCCTGTATATATCTGACCCAGTAATTTGTTATTCTGGAGTGAAATTCTTAGATTCACAATTATTTTTCCAAACCGAGCTGAAACATCTTCATTTTCGTTGAATTCACATTCAAATTGCGCGCGAGTTGTTAGACAGATCCCCTCTACACTTGCGCTATCAGTGTGAAAAATTTACAATGGGAAATGTTCCTCAATTTGGATCATTACAGCAAATGCAAGTTTGAACAAAATGAAGTTGAGTTTCATTCATCACTTTTTTAAACTCACTTCGAAATGTATTCAAATTGATGTTTCAATTGTTGGGTTTTAATTTTTAAAGGGATTTGTTTCTAATTCACATATTGGCAACAGCGCCTATATCAAGTTGAAATAATTTATACGTACCTAGATATTCTACTTTAAAAAAGGAAAATTATCTTTATAAATCAACAATTAAGGCAAAATATAAATTATAGTTCAATACCACCTCCACAAGCCACATAAACAACAGTTGTTTTGTTATTTATTTATATAGAGGAAGATAGGTTAGGTGCACAAAATGTCATATGTCACAGAATGTCTCGGAACTCGGAACATAAGTAAACAGAACAGCACGCCTCTGAAATATGTCATCTTTGTTTGTCTCATACAGGTAACAGATTCATTGTCCTTTATTAGCTATAACCGATGTTGCCAAATGGTGAAATAGAAACGAATCTCTTTAAATGTTGAATGCATTATTTCATTCCTCTTTTTTTAAGTATGTAAATGATTTTTTAAAGAAAAAGGTTGAAATGATGAGTTTAAAATGCGTTGTTCTAGAGCTCTTTCATGAAAACTACTTGATTTTCGTCAGGAGGAATATTCGCCATTGACATAGACAGCTTACTTGAGAACCTGTCGTGAGTCCGTGCAATAAACCTCGAATTAAAAATGAAGTATTGTGACTAGCCGATGAAGCCAAGGTAGCTGCTGCAGAAATAGCTAATTGCTAACATATATGTATCTTTTGTTTGAAGGTGATTGACAATGTTTCGTGATGAATTTCACTAGTTCGGACTTCCATTGTCTACTATATGAAATGATTTGAAATCCCTGAAACAAGTAAAAAAGAATAATTAAAAAAGAATAGTTGAAAATAACAATTATATT